CTGACCCAGGGCGCTATCGCACTACATTCCTACATTCTCACTTCAAACGTTTTCAAACGTCCATTGAAAAAAGCAGCCCGCCCAACACCCACTGTTACCATTACAGATTTATTCAGAGCGGCCAAATGCATACCTCCCTGGCGGGGCGGATTCGATTTATGTATGCGGGTGGGGTACGTTGTTTATAAGTCGCGTTGCGGGCATTATTTCATTTACTTGAAATATGTATGGGGGTGAGCCATTCGCGTGGATGATGAAGACGACAGCAAAAACTCTTTTCCTGTGATTGAGGGAAAAAGGCTTGCAATCGGTAAATGATGACACACAATGAGGCGTGCAAGCATTGCAACCATAACACGTGTGATTTCATTTACGATTTTTACATAGTACTTGTTATTTACACGTGTATAAGTATAAATTCATGTATATTATAAGGTCTCACCCTCAGTTATTTTGCATTGAAAAGTTGCGGTACAAACATGGTTACATTAGAACAAGATTTTCTTGGCCTCGGCTATAAAGATCGCACCTCCTGATTTTTTTCTTTTTAATTGAAGTTGTGTACAGAGAAGTATAGAGGACTGGGTTTTAACAAGTAATTACAAGGTGTTTATATCTTATAAATTGGAGTATTGGCTGTGGTGTGTGTGAAGCCGATGGCACTTCCGCAGTCACGGTATCTCTAACCAAACTTGGTGGTGACATCTACATGATTCATGACACGTGCATGCTATTATTTTTAGTTTTATTTTTTCCACACCACGCTTCAAAAACATTAAAAATTAGTGGGGAAATTTTTTGCACCTAAGCGCGGTGAACGTTCACAATCACGAGAAGTGAAAACACAATGGCAATGTGAAAACAATGATATAACAAATGCGCCACTATGATGTTCTATGAGGATGGCGCTCCATCTAACCAATAGAAGAAATGTATGGTGGATGGATGGTATACATTGTTATGTTGAACATTGATGTTTTCTTGCATGATGGGGAGATGATTAAGATAGATTGGTGATGGATAGTAATGTAATCGCAGATGGATATTGGCCCAGCTAAATATAATGCCACCAAAAGCATGGTGATGTGAGACACCTTGATGATTATTATTGCAGTCGACAAGATACCGCCCGCAAGTAAGGAATCTGGCCCCGCTCGTGTGGTCAAAATAGATACTGCTGCCGCAGATGGCGTCTGAAAAGGTTTATCTCGTGGTGTGTGTATGGTATGGGCTGTGTGATTGGTATAGTTGGTAGATGGTGCGTGCGTGCCGTGCGTTGAATGGATGGATGGATGATGGCGTGCGTGCGTTGTGTGCGATTGCTGGGTTGGTAGGTAGTGTATTCTGATGTGATGGATACTTAATGGTGTGATCTGAGTGTGTGCGTGTGTGTTGGTATGGGATGTGATGTGGATGTTATGCGACGCATGGCAAGGACTAGCATGGATAGTCGCGCCGCGATGGATGGATGGATAGATGATAGATGGATGGATGGATGATGGATGGATGATGGATGGATGATGGCCATGTATGGATGGCATGGATGGATGGATGATGGAATGGATGGACGGACGGGACTGCGGGGACGGACGGACGGACGACAGTGACACGGACAGACGTACGATCGGCGATGAGTGGTGCGCATTGCGTGGTGTGTATGTGTTTGTGTATGCGTGTGAATTTGGTGTGTGATGTGTGTGTGTATGCGGAGTGGATAGTATGAAATGGATGGCCATGAATGAATGGAATGGATGGATAGATAGATGAATGGATTAGACTGGATGGATGGATGGACGGATAGATGGATGGACGAATTGATTGATAATTAGCTAAAGTAGACAAACTTTTTTCATTATTTGTGTTTTTCTCTCCTCTTTTTGTTGTGCGTTCTTCACTCCGCCTTCCGCATCTTTCTCCCCCTCTCTTATCTCCTCACTATCTCTCTCCTCTCTCTTCTCTACTCTTCTCTCGCTCGCTCTCTCTCTCGTCTTTATTCTTCTCTCTCCCCATGTTTGTTCTTCTGTTCCATTCTCCTCTTTCTGTCCCTCCACCTTCTCTTCCTCTCTATCTCGACGTTCGTGTCGCTTTCGGATGGGCGTATTACTTTATGCGAGCAGTTTTTGTACCGTGTTGAGCAAACACGCGTTGCAACGTCGATGCCCCGTCATGCCGCGACTTCCCCTTGTATGTCGGCTCGGGCGCCATTCACTGCCCTGGCAGTCTTTCCCTTGAAAGGACTCGCTCGCGCATTTCAGCGAGTTCCTGCCAGCGCTCTCGGGTTTTCGTCTTACGATGCAGCGGATGTGCAAACAAGCATTAATTAATTCTTGGTCACAAACTGTTATTGGTGCTCGCAAGGTGGGCAGGCGGCTTCCGTAGTGTTATCACCATTCATTAGTTTCGCTTGATAGCCAACGCACACAGACTTTTTGTGAAGAGTCCGCGCGCTCCCTTCACGACCGACGGCCCTAAGACCATCCGGATAAATGCAGACTCGGCTAGCGGTGCACGGCTTCTGAGTTAAGTCAAAGAGCGCCGGGCGTTTTGTGTTTCCTGGTCGCTGTACACGTGCGGGTTACCACTCGCACCCGGAATCTCGGTCGCTTCAGCGCGAATTTGTTGGCACCATTGTGATGCAAATGTCCATATATAGACATTGGGCGGTTTTTTCTGTATTGTTTTTCAATGGCGACGAGTCACTGAGGGCCGCCGTGTTTTCTGTAAACATCATATCTCCTGTGGGATTTCTCTTCCTCTCTTCTCCTCTCTTCGCTCTCTTCGCTCTCTCTCTCTCTCTCTCTCTCTCTCTCTCTCTCTCTCTCTCACATCGCGTTCCCTCTCTCCTCTCTCTCTCTCTCATCTCTCTCTCTCTCCTCTCTTCGCTGCTCTCTCTCTTGCTGTCGTTCTCTCTCTCTCTCTCCTCTCTCTTCTCTCTTATCTTCCCAGACATACATACGTACTCGCACTGAGTGCTGACTGATGATGCGTATGCACTGACTACAGTAGTGAACACACAGGCCACTCTCCGTCTCTCCCATCTCACTCTTGCGTGCTCTTACTCTTCTCGCTCGCGCCTCCCTTACTTACTTCCTTTCCTTCCCTTCCTTTTCGCCTGCGTTTAATCCTCTCGCTCTCTATCTCGCTGCTCTCGGCGATAGGTGTTGCCTGTGTGTTTGCTGTCCCTCCCTCTTGTGTGTGCATCGTCGCCTCTCTCTCTCTCTCTTCGTCCCTCTTCTCTGTTGTGCCCTTGCGCACCTCGCCCGTTCTTGTGCTTGCTCGTGTTTGTTTGTCGGTGTGTGGTTCTCTCGTTGGCTCCTTGCTGTCGTTGCTCGTTGTGTGTGTGTATGTTCGCCCACTATATTTCGCTTGCTGGCCTTGCTGCGGCTGGTTCTTGTTGTATGTGGTGTGGTGTGTGGTGATGCGCTAGTGTGTTGTCGTGTGTACTGTGCCTGTGTGTGTTTGTGTGTGTGTGTGGTGTGTGCTGGTTTGTGTGTGTTATGGTGTCACGCTTTCAAACACTTCTTTCAGTCACGGCCAGTTCTACGGTCCACTGCTAGCCGTGTGGAAGTGCCCTGCCCAGCTAAATATTCTAAGCTGTATTACGCCAATGACACAACTAACGTTCCATCATGAACAATGTGCCGTCTACAACAGAAGTCTGACCCCTTACGGGCATGGACTAGTACTGTAAGTGTAATAACGCACGCACGCAATGCAAAACGCGCGCGCAGGACACACTGCCTAGGTATGTGCGAGCCTGATATGCACGCAGGGAAATACTGGCAAAGATATCAGGACGTGTACAATTATATATATCTACAATCTATTCTATAATATGTTATATATGTATATATATCTATTTATATAATATACACTCCTCGGTAACTTATGAGTATGCACTGAACCAATAGATGGACATTTAACGCCGTCATAGATTGCACAAGTAAATTTTTGGACAAGTAAAATCAAAATTCGCGCAAGTAAAAATTGCTTCTTGTTTATGCCGACAGCGACAACCAGATTTGAGTAAGCGTCGAAGGCCTGTGTGAAGGCATAAT